ATGGAACTTAAAATGAGGAGATTATCCTGAATTATTCAGGTGGGCCCAAACTAATGAGCCCTGAAGAACAGAGAGTTTTGTCTGGTTGATGGCAGAGAGATGCGGCAGAAGAAGTCAGAGGCAGATTCCAAGCATAAGAAGGAATTGACAGGCTGTTGCTAACTCTGCGATGCAGGGGCCCACATGCAAGAACCAGGGAGAGGCCTCTAGGGGTGATGGGTGGCCCCCAACTGACAGCCATCAAGGAAACGTGCCCTTAGTCCTACAACCACCAGGCGCTAGATTCTGCCAACCATCAAAATGAGCATGGGACAGGAGTCATCCCCAGAGCCCCCACAAAGGAAAGCAGTCCAGCCAACCCCTCGATTTCTGCCTGTGAGACCAAGCAGAGAAACAAGCCTCGCACACCGACTTCAGACCTGCAGAACTGTGACACAGAAATGGCTATGATCTTAAGCCACTGAATTTGTGTTCATTTGTTACAGTGGCAATAGAAACTAACTCAATACAGCATTTTGTATATGCTTGAGGGTGAAAACTAAAATTTATACCAGCCATTCTATCAGTTTCCACTACCCAGCAGCATCTAGTATATTAGAAACGGTGAAAAACTTAGAGTGTATAGTGCTTTCTATTCACCTTAGACGTTGGACTGGGAGCTAAGACACCCGGGTTCTAATTCTGATTATAAGCACTGGACAGCAAGTCAAAAGACCCAGGTCTTATTTTGATATCAGTGTAAGGAAGGACCTTAAGTAAATCAGTCTCGCTGCGTCTCTGTTTCCATGTGTACAATATGAATGAGTTGATCTGCATGATTTCTAAGGTCACTTTAGAAATGAACAAAAACTGATAGGTAGACAATGAGATGAGCAACATACAGCCACTTAACTTAATAACCCACACTCTCACCCAGCAGAGAGCTCATCCTGAGTGCATTTGATGGGCTGTGTAGGGCTGCTGGGGGCCAGCACTGTGAGCTTTTGATATCCAAGAGCAGTAGATGGGTCTCCAAAGGAGAGATGAATTCTACCTACAGGCCAGCCAAGCTGTCCTCAATTATCCTGGATGTCTAGGTCTCCCCTGATGATGGCATGACTTTCTGACTCTGCCTGAAATCCCTGCAGCTCTGTTTATTCAGTCAGTAAACCAAGAAACTGTGCTGGGTACTAAGGAAAAACAGATAACTAAGGCCCCTAAAAGGGTAAATGTATAAATAAACTGTCTGCCATATTATAATTAAATTCTGGAATAATTATAATTAACTGTGAAAAACAGATGAGGAGCTAAGTGCGTCCTCAATTATCCTGGATGTGCCAACAATCATCTATGGAAGATCCTTTGCAAGAAGTGGTCTGGTCAAAGAAGACGTGCCACCTGTATTTGCTCTCCATTCTAATACCTAACTTCTCAGAGGGGAGAAACGTTTCATTAGAACCCCTGATGATCTTCTACCAATGCTCCACACCTCTCTTCCCAGTAGGGTGTCTTCTGAATTCTGAAGAAAACAATTTGGCGAAGGAATTTGAACCTCAGCAAACTCAATTTCATTCATTACAACAAACGTTTTTTTGAATACCTGCTGTGTGCTCACTGAGTTCAAGTAGAGGCAACCAGTTGTTTTGGAGGTAAATGTTCCATTTCATTTCCAAGCTCTGATTTCAGTATCAACTTCTCCAGTTGTGTGACTTAAATAGGACAGAGGTGAGGAGGCAAAGACCAGACTCACTGCACTCAAAGCAAAGAGCTGTACAAGAAATGTGATTTACAGCTATTTGAAAAGAAGGTGAAAGATTTCTTAAGAACGAAGTATAAGCTGAACAGGGACCTACAAAGAACTCTTATTTCTCAGAAGCAGTTGTCTCCCATCAAATTCACATCAACATTCTGGGTAAAGTTTGATCTGCACCATTGGCCTCAATCAGGGTTTTCCAAAAAAGCAAACTTCAAGCTAATGGAGCAAAAGTCAGATTTGAATTTGCATTAATGTACATTTTTCTTGGACAAATTATGCAACTATATATATCACTAAAAATATGGTTGATTGTATATTTGCATATGTTTCATATGGTTAATATATATTTTAGTGCCAAATTTTTTTAGACATTTTATAGGTTAAAAATGCTACTGCTATCATTTCTCAATGCATTTTATTTATTTATTTATTTATTTATTTGTTGGCAGCTCAGCGGCTGCACCTGTTGGCAGCTCAGCGGCTGCTCAGCTTGAGCCAGGCATCGAACCGCTGTTGCTCAGAGCTCAAACTCTTGAGCGAGCTCTTAACCAACTGAGCCACTCGGCCGGCAACAATGCATCTTATTTTAATCCTCTCTGCACATCAGCAATGGTTAACTCAAATCACCTACACTGGTCATTTTCAACCTTTCTTCTTCAGAGACAGACATAACAAATGGGTTCATATGTGTGACACACCCCTAGACAGATCCAGAATTATATGCAATTCTAGAAGCTCTACATATAACTCCAACACAATACTCAACCTAAAAAATCATGGTGAGAAGAAAATAATCACGTAGATATCCTTAAATTTATTACAATTAAATTTAAAAAATAAATCACTGGCAAATTTTGGTACTTTATCAGCAAGCAATTATTTGCAACAGGCATCTTTTGTTTGGGACACAGCAATCTATTTTGACACTTTGGTTGATAAGCACTGCCCTGATGTATGTATCTCCTGTACACCTTAAGTTTGAATTCTTTTTTTTTTTTTTCCAGCTGAGCCATCCTGCCACCTGTTGGCAGCTCAGCAGCAGCTCAGCAGCAGCTCAGCTCGGGCCAGGACTAGAACCGCTGTTGTTCAGAGCTCACACTCTTGAGCAAGCTCTTAACCAACTGAGCCACTCAGCCGGCCCTGAAGTTTGAATTCTTGAAGGCTAAAGGGTGCCTGGCACAGAGAACCGGGAAAAAAATAATAAGAGAAACATGGTTCCCCACGGTGTGATTCTATAAACCTATTATAAAAGTCTACTAATGAGCATTTTTCTGTAAGTAACTAACCTCCTACCTACAATCTACAAAGCCATTGACATTCCAGGAAGGTTACACAGCCTATACCCAAATTTAAAGGTGTATTTCCTTCTTTAGATGTGGCAGAAAATAGCTCTATGCACATTTTTTTTTTTTTTAAGATTTTTTTTTTTTTTGGGGATTTGGGGGGGGGGAACAGGCAAGTTGCTGTCGTTTTGTTCTTCAATCTAGTTGTGGAGGACGTTGCTTCACTGGCCCAAGTTGGCACCATCATTGCGCTCTTCTCTGGCGAGGCAGATCAGTCGCCGGCATCTGGACAGCCGCTCACTGCGGCTGCTGGCCGCTCACGCTGGCTGCTGGCCACACACGGTAGCCCATTGCAATCCACTGCCACAGGGACTGCAGCCCACGCCGTCGCCGGCGACTCATGGCAGCCCAGCTCCAGGTTGAGCTGTTGTTCAGCATCTTAGCTGTGGAGGGCAGTGTCACTGGCCCTCACATGTGGGATCCGAACCGGGGCCCTCTGGCATCCCAAGCGAGCCCTTAACCATCGCGCCACTCGGCCGGCCCTCTATGCACATTTTAAATATGAAGCGGCTGTACTGAATAGCAGTTGAGAGCTTGGGCTCTAGAGCAGTGGTTCAGAGGTAATTTTGCCACCCAGGGGACATTGGGCAATGTATGAAAACATTATTGATTGTCACAACTGGGAAGGAGGGGGTTACTGGCATCTGGTAGGCAGAGGCCAGGGATGCGGCTCAACATTTTACAATAAAGAGGAAAGCACCCCCAAGGAATTACCCAAATGCCAGCAGCGCATTTGAGAAACCCTGCTCTAGACCAGCCTGCCTGGGTTTCAACTCACTCACTACCTATGTAGCCTCTGCAAGTTACTTAACATCTTTGTGCTTATTGAGCATCTTCACCAGGAAAATTAGGATAATAAAAGTACCCATCTTATTGATCTGTTATGAGAATAAAATAAAATTACACAAGAAAGAAGCTAAGAACAATGTCTGGAACAAAGCAAGTGCTTAACAAACGTTTACTTTTGTTATCATTATATGCGTTGAAAAAGACTGAGAAGAAATACACCAAAATTTTAACAATGGTTGTTTCTAGGTGGCGAGATCATGACTTGACTTTTATTTTCATTCCATTTTTTATACTTCTCAATATTTTCCAAATTTCCTAGAACTGTATATGTACTAATCTAATATCCAAACATATATTTTTGTGAAAAGAAAGCAGAGGAAAGAACTTTACTTGTGATATAGTGGAAAGAGCACAGAATTAGACACCTGGATTCACATCCTGGCTGTATTTGTGTGACTTCGGCCAGGTTAGTTAAGTTCTCTGAGCTTCAGTTTCCTGATCGGAAATTGAGACTAATAATGCACATCATAGAATTTCTATCAGGACTAGAGATGGCAGACGTCCAGTGCTTAGGAAAGCAAACTGAATGAAGGGCTCCAGGAGATAACTGCTTTAAAAGTTTAGCCAAGGGAAACCGACTCTCCAAACAGGGAAATATATTCATGACAGTAACTCCCGTTTTGCTCTTTAAACTATCCTGCTAGAGAGGCCACCTCCCATCGCATCCCCGTTTTGCCTTGGTTCATAGAGGAGAAATTGCATCCACACTCTGGTCCTTCTATTTCTTCTCCCTCCCTATTTATATACCAAAGGAAAGAATTGAATAATTCGGCTGGCAGGGCCTGACTCATTGAGTAGGGTTTACTAGCAGTGGGTAAATTACTGTGACCGAAAGGCAGGACCCAGGTCACATGCTCACTGTGTCCTTCTTATAGCCTCTTTCATTCCTGGCTTCAAAGCTGAAAGCATACGTGACAAAGCCTCTCCTCGAGGGGGAAGCCTCTCCATTTTCTCTCTTCTAACTTCTCCAGTTCAGCTAGTTGAGTAGATCGCCCCCTTTTAGATCTGAGAGGGATGAGTAGGAAGCCCAGCTAAGGCTTTCAGACCGAAGCCTCCTGTGTGCACTTGCATACCTGCTCATCTGAGAAGTCCCCCGAGTGTGGTGGGCACGCAGCACTTGCCAGGCTCTATGTGCTTCCAGCAGGGCTGGTTCTTTGGCACCAGTCACTCAGCAGGTAACAGAGGAAGTAAGGAGGAGGAGGGAATAGGATTCAGGGACTCACACCTTACCCACAAGAACCCCACCCTTCCACTCCTTACTTAATTAGATTGAAAAATAATAGAAAGGGTTACATTTGTGTATATTATCAGGAGAGGTGATAATTAGGCTTAAAATACTTGAAGCCTAATTAGCCTGCTGACTCTGAGATAATCTTTTGAACTCGGGTCCTAATTGCTACGGTTTGGGAAAGGCAGGCTGGCTCCAACCCATTCTGACAGGGAAGATTTCAGGGGTTTCTAGGGAGGAGTCCTGTAGTCCTGTGAGTTCTTGGTGTAGTGTTCTGGGGACTGGGAGCCACAGTTTCTTAGGACAGGACTGCCTGGGGCAGGAACTGACCTTCTCAAGACATTAGCTCTCAACCCGAGTGAACTACTTCAATGTTGGGTGATGGTACCAGGCAAAAAATATGAGAGCAAAATGAGACTGTTAGGGGTGCCTCCATCCAGATGTAAATTAAAATATCAGAACTGCATTCTAAAAAGTCAGGGGAATTGGTAATCCCCAAGAAAGGATTTATGGATATGTCTTGAACTCCAGTGTGCTACCGCTCCAGGGGTCACTCTGACTGGCATACATAAATTTCAGGCATAATTTTGACTGTTGCCAAGTTTCCTCCTACTGTACATTTATCTCCTCACTATATTCCCTATAAATACATGCAAAGCAAAGCAGGCATGGGCCCCCCAAACTGGCTCCAGCGGAATGCTGTGAGTGTGTCTTCGCATTCTTCATTTGCAAATACTCATATATATTGAGAGCTTACCATAAACCAGGCCCGGTGCTAAGTGCTAGAAATCCAAAGATGGAAGGATACATAAGCTCCCTTCAGATGACTAGAATAGTGTAAAAGTGTTACTTGTCCAAGGGAGATGTAGATTTCAGCAGGGATCAAAGGCTTAGTCCCAAGGACTGAAGTTCAGTATTGAAGGGGACACAATCAAATCTTCACAATCGTCTTTGGTGAAACTCTGAAGGGAAACACCTCATTTAGGGAAGAATTTCACAAATTTTAGATTCCTATCCCTTTTCCTCCTCTTTGTCTCTCTGACCTAGCAAATTCTCTTAGTTTTCCCACAGCATATAAGAATGACATCAGTCATCTTTTATTGTCAATGGCCAGAAGGGAAACTATACAGACCAAAGGAAGAAAATCCTTGTCTCTCAGAAATTCCCAGAAGTTAAAAAGAACAAAAAAACTTCCTAGTTTTCCCTTAAAACCCTAAAATAATTTGCAAGGGAGAAATCTACTCCTTTAAAGTACGATAACATGATTTTAAAACAATAAATCTAGTCAGTTTGATACCATAATTTATGTTCATAATTTTAGAAGTTTTTAATCTATTTTGAAAACCAGGTAAGTGCTTTTAAAGATAACATGCTTAGGGGGCACCCCAGTCGGGACCCCCTTTGTTTTGAGAGCTGTTATTTTTTGCTCTAATAAAACTATCCTCTGCTAAAAAAAAAAAAAAAGATAACATACTTAGGCTGATCTTATTACTAGGTTCAAAGGACAGAGAATGTTTCCAGGTTTGGTATTAAAAAAAAAAAAATCAACCATGATGTAATTCTAGATTTCTTTTTTTCCTTTAGACATCATTTGGTCACCATAGTAACACAGTGTTTTACTACCAGATATCTATACAGCACAAAGGGAAGAGAACAAGCAATTACTTACTGGGTTCTTTGGGGGTACAGAATATGGCTATTGGGATAATTCAAGATTAAATACAGATTTCACTAGGGATCTGTTTTAGCCAAGCAGGCTGATTCAATCTTCTGGTAGCATCAGCTGAACAAAATCTGTAGCCAAATCAACTGCTGACATGTGAGTAGAGAAGCAGTATAGTTCAGTGATTAAGATCATGAACTCGGGGGTCAAGGTTTTTGGGTTCAAATCCTGTTTCTACTATTTGCTAGCTGTGTGACCTTGGGAGAGTTCCCTAACCTCTCTGAGCCTTACTTTCTTCATCTCCAAAATGTGAGTACTAATAATACTTCCCTCAGAGGGTTATTATAAGGATTAAATGACAGATTATTTGTGCTTAGATTGATGCCTTACACATAGCAAGAATTTTATAAGTATGCGTTAAAGATGAAATAAAATTTAAATTTGCTAGCTTCCCTCTTTGTGCTAGGTAGAAATGGTCAAAGATACCAAGATTTGAGTGAATGGCAGATTATTTTAGCCTATAACTTTGGACGATTCCTTTGAGAACTTCCTGGGGTCCTTCTTGGTAGCTTTCTATTAAGATTTGAAATTCGGTGGCAGCCTACTGTCGTAACCCAGAGCTGGAAACAATCACAAGCACTCCTGGTATCAGGAATATCAGAAGGTAGCCGATTGCATAGCACAAAGAAACAGCACGCCTGCCCACTCAGGCTCCCTAAGCCACTGCCAATAACCTCTGGGAACATGGGCACAGAAGCAGCAGCTGAAAAGGGATGGAACAGGGTTTTATTGCAGTGACAATGAAATCTAATTGGTTTCAGTAATATTTCTTTTTCCTCTTTCCAGGATTCAAAGAAAAATAATCCTGTTCATCAATGAGTGCTTTGTTTTATTAATTATCACTATACAGAATTTCCATCTAATTTGTCTTCAACAGGCACTTACTCTGGTGAATTATTCATTTTACCTAGGCATCTTTTTGGACCTGTAACAAATATAAAGCCCCAACCAGCAAATAAACCAAAACAAAAATCTCCAAATTGCCTGGAAAAAAGAAGGTATTTTGTACTCTGAGCCAAATTTCAGCCACAATACCGCGGGATCTCTAGCACATACCTCCATCCGGACTTGATTTTAGAGACGGTCTCCTTGGGTCTTCTTGGTCGGGAATAGCCCTTGCATAGGAGTTTGGAGAATGACATAAACCACCAGGAAATCTTGGGAACGCATTCATATCTGTCTTCTGCCTTTCCCTTGGCTCACAGCCTGCTTCCTGGTAGGGAGACAAGATGACGCTGTGCAGGGTTGACTGTTAAACCATCTTCCCGCCCCCAGCCCCACTCTCTTGGTGCCCCTCCCTTCTCCTTTCCAAGGCTCTGGAATGTGTCACATGGGAAATGGATCATGTGGCTCAAGGGGAGAATCTGGCCATCTTTTCTCTCCCTTCCCCCACTTTTCCTTTCAGGAGCAAAGCAGCAGAAATCTCCGACCTGATTGGCTCTGACCAAAAATCTCCATATGAAAAGGGGAAAATTCAACCATCCAAACCTCTAGGCTTTTCCACTTTATTTTTTGTTTTATTTTTCATCTGAACATTTTATCCTGGGCATTATCCAGACTTGCTTGGTAGACTGGGAAATGATGCTTTCTCCCCAGCCCTTTTCTTTCTTATCATCAGTACCTTAATATGGCAATGTGTTCCTTAACCAGCCTCCGGAGCCCCCTTGGCACATCTGGGCTAATGGAGTATTCAGCACCACGGACAGCATTACACCCCCTTCAGTGTTCAGTGAAGCCATTTTTTGTTCATTTTACTCTCAGGTAGATAAAAATATTTTTAAAATACTTCCCTAAGGTCTTGTTTAGTCCTCCGACTCCCTCTTCTATCAATTTATTGTTACCTTATGAATACAAATGTAATTTTTATATATCATTAAATCCAAAGGCCATCCCATGCCTGTCGCCATCCCATCACAATCCTCATCCTTTAAATATGCTCTGTGCTTGGGAGGGATTCTCATAGCATAATTCACTGTATGCCCATATATCTATGCTCATGGGAAAAAAACAAAGAAGCACATAGGATTTCTTGAGTGTGCATATCTGCATGTCTTTAGCCCCATCCCTAGGCCTCAGGCAGCGTTGAATTAGAGAGGCAGGAAGGGAGCCCATAGGAGCTGTTTTGTGCAGGATCTACCCCGCTTTGCTGACATCCTGGTTGCCATGGTGCTAGGTAACTGCTGAAGGGGATGATTTCTTTCAGAACCAGTCACCATGGGACCCAGCTGACTACAGAAAGGCAGAGGGAAAAGGGCTGAATTGCTGAGGAGGACTTTCAATTAACATTTTTCAGAGTAAAATTTACCTAATGGGTCCTTTCCTTACTGAATTGTTGCTGACCCTAAATCTTGAAAGGATTTTAGGGATGAATATGGACACTGCGATGGTAACTCCCTCCATCCTCCACTGCTTCTTTCCTCAAAAGTCTCTTTAGGTGAAACTGAATGAAAATGCTAGCTTCATAGAAGGACCGTGAAGCGCCGTCACAGAGTGCTGGGAAGGACACAAGAAATATATTTCCCCTCAGTTTGGGGCCTCTGACTTTTGTGAAGCCATTCGTCTAAGTCCTACAGCCTTAACTGGGAGATGCTTTAGAACTACACCTGATGGCTGACACTAGGAAAAATTTAAGAATTTTACAGGAGAAAAGATAAATATTTTTAAACGTGAGTTGCTAAATTATTAAATAAATTTAATTATTAAGATCAATTCCTTGGATAGCATTTGGACTACCCCAAATCATGAATTTAAACTAGGTATACGAGTATACTTGTCTCATAAGGTGGACACATAACTGATTATTTCGAACTCAGAATCCTAACAATGGCTATTATGAATATTTATACTGGGGGGAGAAACGCTGACTTGAAATGTGCAGAAATGCAAACTCTAAGAAGCAAGATAGCAAGCACAGGGGAGATGGAATATAATTTCAAGAAACTGAAGCTCCTTCCTGGCTCAACATCCAGAGCTTAAGATGTATTTACTTCTTTTATTATAGAAGAGTCAGATTAATTCTAGTTTTTCTATATAAGGCTCAGAGAAATTCTAAATGATCCAGCAATCCCACTTCTGGGTCTATAGCTAAAGGAAATAAAATCACTATCTCAAAGAGATGTCTGCATTCCCATGTTCATTGTAGCATCCTTCACAGTAGCCAAGTATGGAAACAATCTAAATGTTCATCGATGGATAAATGGATAAAGAAAATGTGACACACACATGCACACACACACACACACACACACAGTGGACTACTATACTATTCAGCCTTTAAAAAGAAGGAAATCCTGCCATGATGAACCTGGAGGACATTGTGCTAAGTGAAATAAACTAAACACAGGAAGATAAATATTGTGTGATCTCACTTACATGTGGAATCTAAAAAAGTCAAATTCATAATAACAGCAAGTAGAATGGTGACTACCAGGGGCTGGAGGGTGGGGAAAATGGAGAGACACTGGTCAAAGGGTACAAACTTTTCAGTTATAACATGAGTAAGTTCTGGAGACCTAATGTAGAGCATGATGACTATAGTTAATAACAATGTATTACATACTGAATTTGCTAAGAGAATAGATGTCAAGTGTTCTCACCACACACACACACACACACACACAAAATAGTAACTATGTGATGTGGATGTGTTAATTAGCTTCATTGTGGTAATCATTTCACAATGTATACGTATACCAAAACATCACCTTACATATATACAATTTTTTTTTGTCAATCATACTTCAATAAAGCTGGGGGGAAAATATGACAATGTCTCTCAATGTGCCTATCTAAATTCTTAGGAGGCAGAGTCAGGTAGAGAACCAGATCCAATCAGCCATGCGTGCTGAACTGGAGAAGAGTTCACGTGCTGCCTTCTCAGCGCTCACTAACAAACTGGCAAATTTTATAAAAGAAAAGGGAGGGGAGAGGGAACAAATGACTGATGGAGGAAATGGTGTGTGTGTGTGTGTGTGTGTGTGTGTGTGTGTTTGTGTGTTTAAAACTCCATTAACTCCCCATGAATGAGACTGCCAACAGCCCGACTTGCACGTCCCCAATTCCTGTGGTCTCCATTTCACTTCCATTTTAATCAACCACCTGAATGTGCATGCCCTTCACACTGACTGTAGTTCTCCGCACATATATCATGCTGTTTCTTTCATGCTTCCGACTTAGACCTGACAGTTTCCTCTGCCTTGTCCACCTTTGCAACATATACAGTAATACCTTGGTTTGCGAGCATAATTCGTTCCAGAAACAAACTACTCGTATTGCAAGACATCGCTCATTTACCACGTTAAAATGTATTAGAAATGTTTGCTCGTCTTGCGGACAACGCGCAAACCACATTACTCGCAATCCAAGGTTTTACTGTATTCCTCTTCCAAAGCCTCCTGGATTTCATCTTCTCTGCGGTTCTGTCCCTCTGACCCCAAATCCCTCCAAAACAAGATACTCACATCTTTTTTACTATACTACTTTTTAAATTTTCACACATACTACTTCTATTATTGCATATATCATATTACACGGTGTTCATATTCTTGTAGGGAGGACTGTCATCCAATTCATCTTTATACCTCTAGGATCTAAAAAATAAAGTAGGTGCTCAACAATAGTGTTTCAGCACATTGAACAAGCATGACTTTTGGGACCAGTTTAAAGCAACTTAATTTTTACTTTCCACTGTCCCTGTGAAAACACTCTGTAGGTGTTTGTTCTTCTCCCAATTCTGAATGAAAACTTGGGCAGTCCCATTCTTTTTTCTGGTCACTTTTAGTTAAAAGAAGTTAGCAGTTAAAATATTCAGTCCGGTATAATAGTCAAAATCTGTCACCTGACTTAAAGTTAAGGCTTTTCGCCCTCCACCTAGTTTGTGCCTGCTGTAAATAGGGAAACTTAATTTAGGGTAAGAACGTGACTACTTCTCTCTTTCACTATTTGTCTAATAGCACTTCAATAACTTCATTCAAATATCCTCTTCAAAACCCCTTTCCCTATTTTCATCTTGTCTCTTTTATGCCCGATTGGGGTGAGAGTATTACGAGTAGTCTAATCAGTTCTCACCCTCTTACATTTTGCAGAAGTCCTACAGAGTGGTCTGTCTCTGGTATCTCTTGTCATAGGACCTCAGGCAGCACTCCTGTTTTAACATTTATAATAGCTTAACTAAAGTGTCGCCACTTGGGATTTTTCTATTTCTAACTTTCAACCTGCTTCCCTCCTCACCCAGAGTCTCCTATCTTTCTATTCCACTCCCCTCCTCATTTCTGCATAATCTTCTACTCACCCTCTTCATAACCTCTAGTTGTTGACTCTTTAGAGTCTCTGAATTCCTTGTCTCAGCTAGGAGACAATGTTTTCCCATTTCACCAGCTCTCTTGCTAGACAAACTAATGAATGTCTCAAGAAAAGGGACCCAATTAAAGACAGGTCACCCTATGTGGCAAAAGATATTCCTGGCCATTATTGCTATATTTGGGTCTTGACATCCAAGGTGGTTTCAACTTCTGAATAACTTATATTCCTAGAAACCAGAGTTGTCCTACTAGAAAGTACCTTGTCTCTTACAAGCTCAAATTCCTGACCCAGACATGCCATCCCTCCTATTTCAAGTAATTCTCTACTCACCATGCAAGGCTACAAAAAATAGGCTTAAACTTTAAATTTCTCATGTGTCAGTACCAACAAAACCACTTGGGTAGTCAGAGCGGCCACTCAATCCTGACAGGCTATGGGAGGAGGCTTCGTTATCAGTGGCCTGCTGTGCATGCTTTCCCAAGGGCACCCTCCCCTGGACAAGAACATCCACATGGACACACTTCAATGATGCCTTGATGCCCCTCCCCAACCAACGGTGGAGAGCAGGTTGTAAAATTTCACCCCACCTCACTACTGCCATTAGCCCTTGCTGATGGCCCAAGACTCACCATGTGGTAAAGCAATAAAGACATCATCATCTGTGTTGCCTGTGCTAGATCAAAGGACCAGCTTGGGAGGCTCAAATTCCTCCTTTTCTACAGCAAATCCTGTAATATTCCTGGGACCTACATTAATGACCTCATCACAAACCTTTCCTAAATCAGGATGCTTACCACATTCTTATAATTGCCTCTCTCCTGAATATAGCTCACTATGCCCTACTCA